AAAGAACGATTATTAAAAAAAAGTCAAAGTACGTGGAAGCGACCTGGACATCCAGAAGACCCCTGATGCAAAGAAAACTGAATAATGACTCCCAGCACCGTTAAGCGAGTAACCATGGGAACGGCAGCGGAAGACAGTTCAGCAACACTGTAACGGCATGCACTGTCGAAATTGATAAGAGTACCAAGTTCAATATTTACACGAAACATTCACAGAGTCCTTATTTCGGGTACTGTGAACTCCAAGGGCCAAGTCACCTTCAAAATCCTCTAAACATATTTCCACGACGGAAGCACTTTTGCTACGAGTAATTTGCCTCGTCCATCTTTGATCTGATGGGTATTTATTTAAATATCAATTAATAAAATTTCTGATAATTATCTATGTCTAGCAACAGATGTTAGTTAGATAATTCGGCGGAATTTGGCGCCAGTGGTTCTCAACCTGTGGTACGCGTACCACTAGTGGTACGCGCGGAAGATGTTCAAGTGGTAAGCGAGCAGCATTGAATTTTTGCAACAACTAACTTTTGAGTTGGCAAAATATGCCGACAACGATTTATCTTACATAGGCTACTGTATGTATTCGCTGAACATATTTATGAATGTTTCCCTGACATCAATTTCCTTATTTCCGTAACCATAACCAATCAGCGAAAAGTCAACAAAGATGTAACAATTGCAATTTCCGCAGCCGCTCAGACACTGCTGTGGCTCAGACAGATATTCAAGTATGGTTGTAAAGTAAACATTGCCTCGTTTTTGTAGTTATGCAGTTTTGCGGGTTATTTGTCAGTTTTCAGCTATGTTTCAAAAAAATAGTTGTAAATTAAATATCTCAATTGTCATTATGTCTTCAAAGGAGCATTAATTTAGTTGCGGCATTCAAGAATGAGAATCGCAAATGCTGCGATAGACTAGTCTAAACTAAGCCATCAGTGCCTGTAAGCGGCACATGGTTGATTAATTTTAATACAAATGAGGGTGTCAAACACGTAAACCACCTTATAAGCGCAAACACATTAAAACACTCTCAACCACATTTTTTTGCAATAGTAAAGTATAGAAAGAATTTTTCTGGGGCCAAGGGTCGGAGAAACGTCATTTGGACCAGTACAGTAGGCTATTTATCGTCCTCGCCTGCTATTGTCCACGAACGAACCAAGATGGGCATGTTTTCGTCCGTCTTACGAATTAGTCTTACGAATTTTTTTGCAATAGTAAAGTATAGAAAGAATTTTTCTGGGGCCAAGGGTCGGAGAAACGTCATATGGACCAGTACAGTAGGCCATTCATCGTCCTCGCCTGCTATTGTCCACGAACGAACCAAGATGGGCATGTTTTCGTCCGTCTTACGAATTAGGTCACAAAGGATGTAGTAAAAAACAGTAAAGTGGTACGCGGTCAATAAAAGGTTGAGAACCACGGACTCACGCCCTACGGCAACAGTAAATTATTTTTTCAATCAGATATTTGAACCTTAGGTGTCGCTGCTCCATAACCATCTTCGGCTCCCCGCGGCTTCCGTTCCCCATTAAAACTGTGATTCTATTATATTTCTTGGACACGAAATGAACCTATGGATCGTTTTGTTGTTATTAGTATTATCCATGTTGTTGTTGTCAAAAATCACTTCCCCTTTTACCTATAGAACCAAATTTTCGGTGGGTAAAGATTGTCGTGTCGCTAGCAGGCTATCACTTTTATTTATTTGAAAAAAATTGTGGGCTCTGCAGGATTTCACTTCGACGTCATGCGTGGTGACATCGTGATGACGTGACTCATATCATTTGGTTTTCACGTTCAGACTAGAAGCATGAATCATCATCACCTGGATAAGCAAAGATAGTCCGGTACGGTACCGATACCCTGGTTCTGGTACATGTACTGGTAAGTTACCGTAGCTGCTCCACGGTGTCGGCTTCGTTCAGGATATGATTTTCGGGAAAATATTTATAAAAAAAAAAATTGTTTTGGCGTTTGTGTATATATATTTGAGCATTGCTCTCTTATTTTTCTCCAATATTGTATATGATTGATTTTTTTACTGATGACAAAAGAAACTCGGCTTAACTGTTATTCAGTTAATGTATTGAAAAGCTGAAGCAGGCCGCTATTCCAACGTATAACAGGCAACGACGGTTATTCGTTTTACCAAGCATTGATACCAACGGTGTGAAGTATTTTAAAAATACACAATTTCAGTGGGAATCGTCGTCTATGCACTATTTTTGCCTTTCAGGCTTATTTGCCAATATTAATTGGTAGCGATACTCTCATTGGTGTGATTCAATTTTTTTGTCAGCCGGTTCCATCATACAATACAAAAAGTCATGTAATGCTAACCGATTCGCTGATCTCATAAAATTCCGTGAGACAATTATATAGAACCGGTGCGAACCGGCTGAATCCTACTACTGGATACTCTGCATTGGGCACCACCATTAACATCTCAATCAATTCTGCTGCTGCATCGCCGCCATGTAGCATTACCAAAAGAGTCGGCATGTGGCTTGGTCTCAGATTGGATGTTTATTACTTGAATGACTGTAAATGTATATTGAGTTGTTTATAGACTCTATATGCATAGGACATTGAATATTGCATGTGTATCATCCAGTGGTGTATCTACGTAAAATGGCGGCCATGGCAAAGTCTAAAAATGTCCCCCTTGATAGTTGTTTGACAATTTATAATGACTATTATTGAATTGAAGTACTTGCACGTTATTATGTGAGTGAAAATACGAGTTTCAGTCATTCCCTATTTCAAATTATTTTATTGAAACTTTTTATAATTAATATTTTTTGCCGTTTTTACGCCCCTGTTCAAACGCCGCCCATAGTACGAGTCATGGCTGCCACACCCTAGATACGCCACTGGTATCACCTGATTAGCTGTATATGTATATTTAGTTGGCTGTATACGCATATGTAATATAATTTTGTATGTACATCAGTTAAATGACTGTATAACTAAATGACAGTATAATTAGTTGTTTGTATATACACACGACGTCATAGATTTTTGTATGTGCATTATTCGAACGGCTGTATATCTATAGTGTTGGCGGTATATATATAAGGTATTGGCTGTGTGTGTACATTATTTGCATGGCTGCATAGGTGTATTGAGTTGGCTGTATATGCATATGACATTGATTTTTATCTATACATCACTTAATAAATTGCTGTATATGCACATTGAGTTAAGATAACATTTTCATCTCGAAGCTCCGAAAACAAAATTCATTTTATTCATAGTGTAGGCTACATGATATCACTTTTAAATGAGCATATTGCGCAGCGCAATCAGTAGATGAATACTGAATATCGGAACAAGCCGGATTTGTAGTATATATATTGTACGGATCTATTGTAGCCTAGTTGTCAGCATTTTTGTCGCCCGTGTTGAGCTTGGCAATAGACTGGGCATATGGCAAAATCTTGTTGATATCTAACAAGACAGCTTCAAGGGTACTGATTTTCGCTGATAGTGACATGCATCGAGTGTATTTTGCCTCTCTAATATGACTTTTATGCTACCAACCCTTCTTACTTTTAATTGCGAATGGAAAATGACTACCGGTACCATAAACCGTATGAAAGTTGTTGAACATTGATGAAAACATTGCTCCATGTCTCTAAAGCGAAAAAGAATATTGTCAGAAGAGGAGAATCTTTTATACGAAGCCTTCGCCAACTCTCAAAATAAGAAAAATAGTAATCAGCTAATTAGGATTTGGGTGAGGGTTAAGAATGCAGATTGCGCTGGAAAGTCAATTTTTTAAATCATTTCTAACGCGAACCCTAAGGATAGTTTTTAATTCTTTATTTTAGGACGTGGCGTTTTTGTTTTACCGAATCTCACATTTTTGCATTGCATTAGTAGCAGGGGTTTTGTACAGAAGATCCGAAGAGAAAATGTTCTTAAATTCCAGATGGGAGATGTATTTCTTCATGATCCAGACATCAGCACATATATATTCAAACTGCAAAGCGACGTTTTGGTCGCCTCATGTTTTATTTAGGCTTTGCAAAACATAATCTTAGCAACCTCTGAAAGGATTTCAGATTGGGGCTATACTCAGTGATGAGCTGTGAAAATCGTAACAACCGGAACGCAGCTAATTTGTGAAAATGTAATATATATTTACAACACGGCGAGGACGCTGCCACAAATTTTTGTCTGTCCTAAGATAGAGCCGAAGGACTACAATGAAATATGAAAAAATTATCTGGTATATGTCTGTTCAAAATTACAAGAATATTTATACCAATTCAATACGAATGTGTTTATTAGAAAGGTATATGATGAAATTTCAAGGGGTCAAAGGTCGGCGAAACATCCATTACACGTTATTGCTGTGCACTAAATATTTGTCTGCTGAAATGTAAAATAAATTATGGCGTAACAAAACATAAGTTAATATGTAAGTTTACAAGATGTACTAGAACTAGACTTTCTATGACAAAATTTTATTTCAACAACCGGAACGCAAATGCAATAATATGTCTAACAACCGGAACGCCGTTCCGGCTACAGCTCATCACTGGTTATACTCCGTCAAAGCATGTTTAATAAAACTGGGGTAAGGAACACGCATCTCCCCCACGTCAGTTGTCTACTGTAAACGATTGGATCGGTACAGGTACGGCGGTGCTCGTACTACTTTGTGGGGATGTGTTTGAGCATTGCTTTCTTACAAGTTGCGAAACGGAAACATAGATACCGGTAAATTGGCCAGTTGCTGTATGAAAGCAAATACCGTATCTTATCTTGTAAAAAATTTCGAGGCACGTAGAGCGTCAAATGTTTGTAGACTAGGTCGATGTGATTTATAGCCAACTTGGAGCAAAATGTGGAAAAACTCATTATCATCAGTCATCAGAACACGATAGTATATAAAACACATTCTAGCATGTCGCAATAGTTTTAGGGATAGTCAGACCCGCCGAAGTACGATAAAATGAACTCCAGATAATTCCTCAGAACCGAAAATGACATTTTGCAACGACTTATATTCAAAAAACAAAAACACAATGCTGTCAGCATAAAATAAATATTTAATTTTTAATAAACAAATGACAATATGAGAGAAACTAACTAAAAATACAATAATATGCTATTTCGACAAATAAGCATAATGCCACATCGGGATTTCATTAAACATCAAAGTAAACGGCGTGTTTGAAGCAAAATATAACACCAAGTCCTTCATAACATGATTCATATACAGAATTTTCAACTATTCATAAAAAAGCAATGGTTCCTTGTAGCTAAAGGAAGCTACAGCCCACATTGACACCAAAATATATGAATCAATGGCTGCTGTCACCAGGCGAATTCGCAATGAATTTGACAACACAAAGGATGCAAAGTTGGCCAAATATTACCCAACATTATCGTAACAACATGGCTGCCGCATTGCCCACATCATTGCCCGACATTCTCAACGCATTTACAGCCTGCTCTCTATGAAATCCCATGTCGATAAGTTGTGCAATAGATTCTTCGCTAAGTACTGCTTGAGGTTGAACATTGTGATTTGGTTGATTTGCAATACCAAGACGACGGAACAGAGCAGGAATATTTGTTCCCACCTGACAATTATATTCAGATATTTATAACACACAAATATATATATCGTAAAAAAACGGCACCCCCATATTATGTGAACCAAGATGCAGGGTTGGGCCATAATTTTATTTCATGTTAGTTCAGCAATTAAAGGGAAAAGTGAAGTTTTTGCTTCAGTAACAATGACAACAATTTTATCAGCAGAAATACATACTTGGTGATGTCTTGCTTGCATTCGATTTTGTATAATTGTACGTTCAATTTCATCAAGTCGCATTTGTCTTTGTACAGACAAAGTCGCACCAATTAATCCGTATGTTGGCTTTGTAGAACCCAACTAAAATATAGAAAAGATGTTTAACAATGCTAATATTGCATTTGGAACAAAATCATATTTTCAACGGATTAAAAAGTTCGAACTCTACGGATTAGGAGGCGGTATTTTATAACTCTAAAAGTGGGAATTTGGCAAAAAAAATCTCGCTGTCTTAGAGACAGAATCGGAATTAAAATATTTTCAACCTAGTATAGCGTAGTCATTCTATAAGCCAGTTATGTGTCATACCAAACATTTCTATCTACAGACTCTCTGGCAAAAACTAATAGGATTGAACAAATTTTACAGATCATTATAATATATATGGTGGATCAAGGTGCTTGTCTACAAGGTAGATAGATTTGATACAATCTTGGGCTATGTGCAGCTAGATTTTAATAAACCCTGATTCTACTTACCAACATTTCTAAATAGTTTTCTGTGGTTTTTCGAAATGTATCCGGTAATGATAAAAAACTTCCAACATACAAAATATTATAATAGTAAATGAGTCCAGAAATCTGAATGTAAAACAAACTTTTACATACCGATTATGACAAAATAAAAAATTATTTAATTAGGGATTTTTAAAGCACGCAAACAGCAGTGCAAGTCAAGGTTAGATCTGATAATCAACAGCAAAACAAGGCATGGTTCATAAACAAGCTGTGCTTGAAAGGAAATTTGGTTGAAGACGAATTTACATAGCAACAAATAAGATAGAAATGGTCCAACACCTTCACACAATTACACAAGGGGCTGTGAAGCAGGAGAAAATTTACAATCTACTCCAGGTTGTAAAAAACTCTTAGAGAAAATCAAATTTTGATAACAAAAACTTCAGCATATGCAAGCCTTTTTTAATTGTCTGGTAAGAGCGCTTAGTTAAACTATTAGTTTTAGTAGGATGTTTGGACATTATAAGCCTGCAATCTGGCTCAGTCTCCAGATAATTCAGAATTTTACCTAAACTCTCGACACGACATCAAGGAGTTTAAAAATACAATTCAGGTTCAGACTCCAGTGAAAATATACAAAATTTTGTTTTATCCCACCCCACTCGGAAACAATTTCATCTGCAAGAGTAATAATCACTCTATTTATATCATACATTTGGTTGATTCGTACAGTATTATGCATTAACCCATTACAGTTCACTATATACTTACCAAACCGAGTCCACAAACAGGATATCTTGTTTCATCAATAGCAATAATCTGGACCACCAGACCATAATGAAGTATTTTTTGAGTAATCCTAATTGGGCCAAATCGAGCCTGTTCAATTCCAGGTATATCATGATAATAAAACACCAAGAGAGCATAGATGAGCCAGTACCTATAACATATTCAAAGAATAGGTTCACGAATTTAGTTATCTTTACAAATACAACCGGACATAATTTCAAATAACCATACTGGGTTTTATTCTCCTACACAAACTCTTCAACTTATCTTGAATATCAGTCAGTAATAGAGACGCCTAGCTGTCAAATGCTTATTTAACTACGGCATTGAACTGTATAAGTAATAAGTATACAGATAACAAACTTGCATTCCTGATGGCAATATCTTGATCTCTTTGAAATAAGTGGTAAATGCAACTTCAAGTAATGATGTCAACAGCCAATTGCATAGAATGAAAGACTGAAAAAAGAAAATCCAGTATAAGCTAAAAAATGGTGCAACATGTTAGGAATACGCTCACCACCGCACCTCTGATTACACTGCATTGGTTTGCAGGTGCGAATCCCATGCGGGGTTAGTTATGTGCGAGAAGATTGCTGGACTCATCGACGCTGTAGGGTGGTTCACATAACCGCTGGTCAGCTACAACTTTCTCCACCATCAAGTTCATGCTTCCAACAAATAACTGGCTAACTAATCCCATACCCGACATGAACTGGTAACCGGACGAAAAGCTGTGGTTCGCCATATGATTAAGTCGTCTTATCAGCTTCCCTCTCCCTCAGGATAAATATGTAAATCCTATCCCTGCCCTGAGTGGCGAGAGCCTTGGGACTTCGTAACATCACAAGTTAAAAATTTCAGATTCAACTCCCATTCATGGGAGGGAATACTAAAAAGTCATTAGGTAATGACTTTTTAAGATTAGTTAATTCCTTACATACTATTAGCTACTTCTTTAATGCCTTTATTCAGTTCAACGGCACTCAACTTTTTCCTCTGTAGAGATATTTCGCTAAAAATAGTACAAAAAATAGTACACCTACCATGAACTTATATGAACCGAATCTTCTTTCAAAATCTGAAAACCCGTACAATAAAATACTTCCAAAAAAGAACTCATGAGGAGTTAAAAATATAAATTTTCCTGTCAGAAGCCTCCAAAGCTGAAAAAAAAATTCGTGAACACATTAATACAAAAGGTATGTTAGATACAAAGAGGGCGCTTTATTTATAATCATCACATTCATGCATACCTCAAATTTATTTAAAATCTTTGATATATCGTAAACAAAGAAATATTTATATTCATGAAGTAATGTGTTGACAGCAACATATGTTGTAAAATACATCACGAGAAGACATTTCGATATTGTGCGTTTATCTGTAAAAACAAAAGATTATTGTTAATAATGATGAGGCTGAAAAATTCATGTATTTAATAAATAGAGATTGCTTTTGATATTACTCGCTTCATCGGAAGTTGCGATTTTAATTCTATTTAATTTTTTAACCCTGATAATTTTTTAATATTTCGAACAAATCACCGTTAATTTCTAATATTAATTTGAAAATTTCCAGATGAATTTTAAAGTTTAGTGAAAAAATATGTACGGTAAGTCGTATATCATAGTTTTGAGTAAACCTTTCGAAACTGCATTTGGGCTTATGTTAGTGGTGATGTTAAAAAACCTCAATGACTGCAGAGCCTGAGCCTAGCTCCAAGGTAAAGAATAAAGCTTGAGCTGGGGTTGGAGCCATTGTAATTTAATTTAAATCAGCTCCTCCATGCCATGTACTAAATATGAAATATGCATCATTATGATAATTCATTGTATCGAGAAAATATTTTATTTTGAAATAGCGATATGTGTACTAGTCAAAAGGTAACAATGTCATACTCACAGAATCCAAGATTCTCATTCATAGTGAATCTTTGGATGTTAATATTCAAGTTGAAGAGCTCAGTCCATGGATTTGAATAGATGACAAAATTTGAAGACTAATGTTTTACATAATGACATAATATGATACAAACGCAAAATATAAGATAATGAAATAAAAGATTCGCACAGAATTTGAAGGTTTGAAAAAAACAAATGTGGACATACAAGACAAATCATGTGGTGTGGACATACAAGAAAATCACAAAACCTGCAATCAATGGTCACTAGATTGAAAATTCAACAAAATTTTCCCTTTTTGTTTTTTGCACTTCACAAACACAGAAACAAACTCTTATAATAAACTGGCAAAAAACGTTCCCTCCCTTTCAGATTCAAAAGTATACCTACTAAAGTACCACATCCCAAAATCCCAAAGCAATTTTTAGTTCGGTTTTCAGATACATTGTCCGAATTGAAAATCAAAAACATCAAAATATGTAGAAATAAATACACATAAGAGGCATAACCAACATTGCCATTAAGGTGACGACAAAAATATTTTCCAATCAAAAAAATATTCCTCTATATAATGTATTCACTCACGGTGCCCAATTGGAACTCATTTCAACAAAGTAAAACGATATTTACACATATATTCTATATACAACATAGCAAACTGATTCACAGTGGAGCAAAACAGACTGTTACTATTACATTACATATGCTACTCTTACACACTCCTGGAACTGCTAATTTATTTAAAACATAACATAGAAGTCAATAGAAAAAACACTCGATTCAGGTGTACAAAAAAGTTAGCATGTATGGAAATTCAATGTATGTTAAGTAATCTAAATAATTTAACCACATTGTCAAACGGTAAACGGAAGTTAGATAAAGTTGACCAGTGAAATACATATGATTCGTTATTAAATATATCGAATCCTTAATTTTTTCCGAATTGACTAGAATATCACCAATGCTGACTAATAATTGTGAGCCTTGTTGTCGTATGTAATGAATTAACCCATGGGTATGGCCATTAAAATACCTACATGTTATCTCAAGTAACAGGGTTATAATCTCAACTTTCCACAACATAATATTTATACTCCTTTTATGGATTGCCAATGAAAAATACAATACACTCGATAAATATTGTCGCAAAGCAAAAAATATGAGTGTTGAATACTCAGTTGAATAATGACCGAATTATACAAATTGCCATGATTTCATCAGGACATCGAAAAAATAAACTTACAATTGAACAATAAATGATTTGAAATTACTCCTTCAAAGATAAACAATTCCAATATGCAACATTGATGATTTTTTGTATTCCTGATGGAATTTATTGAGTGACATTTCTAAGTTTCCTCCAAATAGTGTTAGTCATATGAAACAGAGGAGTCCTATCCAATTGGTGTTGACAATATAAGTATTGGGTTGACTATTTTAAGGTTCAAAATTTCAGAATACCATATAAATTAAAAACGATATTAACGATTCATCATACCATAGTAATTATTTGTTATCTGTATTCAAGTTTCACATTGTACCTTATTGATGAAGCGTCATTAATATACATCTATTATTCGGCAATAATGTAAGCAGTCATTACAGAAATATACTTTAACAAATTAATGAGCATTGCAGATTTATTCACATAAACAAGCACAGAGGTGCAGTGATTTAGGCCATCTAAGCAAAATTATTTTTAGCACGAGTTGGCTTATTACGGCTGTAGGAAGTACGGTACTTCATAAGATCTATATCGTTTCTATCAAGTTAAATTTGCGATATAAACTTTTCACAAATATAATATTCATAAACTTTGAATAACACTATTAACTGCAAGAGCAAATAGAGCAACTCCGGCAACAATAACTAAATTTACAAGATTAGATTGGTTGTCTCTCTCCCTTTCATTTGCAGCGTTTGATTGTTGTTCATTTCTTACATTAGCATTTGTTGTCTGAGATGTTGTTTGAGCATTCATACTTGCTCTAATTTCCTTGGCAACTCCTGGAAATAGTTCACAGAAAACTGAATCTTTCAAGTTGAATGGTCCACTCTGAAGTGCGAGTTGACGTTTTGTATAGTGTGATGTTTCAATAGAACCTAATGTGGCAGAATCCTCGACCATGAAACTTAACAATCCAGTTAAAATAGTTCCTACAGACCAGGCAGGATTCCAAGTATCTGGATGAAAATCACTTATCGATAAGCACAATCTTGTGTTGCATTTGAATCTTCCTGATGGGGTGATCATGTATATAGAAGGTGGGCGGAATGGGAATTCCCTCGGAAAGACTAATTTTCCATGATATATACCACCAAAATAGGGTGTGTCATTGGGTCCTAACACCAAGTAATGCCATTCAAGAATATTAGATGGCAGGGGTTCTGCAGTGACATATGGAATTGGATCTTTCTTCAACCTAAGATAGTCCTGTTTAAGTCTTTGTGTAGCCGTCGTTGGTGCACGCTGCACAGATGAGCTTTTACGAGACATATTGTTTCTGTCACTAAATATAACTTATTATAAGATACCGTAACTCCTGTAAAAACAAAAGAAAATATTGCACAAACAAATAATTAAATTCAGTGAAGGATTTACCGTGGTATTTTCAGCATCCATGCACTCTGGCGAATAGTTTTTGTGGGTAACAAAGTACGGACAAGGTGTGATAGTGACAAATTTCTCTTCATTAATAACTCCAGAATTTGTTTTTCATACAGCAGAAGCATATTTTCAAGTGGTACGTACGTACACAATTTTGCATCAAAAAATAAGTTCAAGAATGGTTCTGTGTTCTGTCATAGACGATGTTGAGGCAGAAGTTGGGTAGCAAGATTAATTAGACAGACCACTTAGGTCTTGAATTATGTTTTCAAATTTGTTATCCATACAATGTGTTTATACAACTGTGTTTGACACCAATTCATGTTTGAAAAATATTAAAATGAGAATCGTGAAAAATGTTTGTACAATTTGCATTTATGACACCAGATAGTTCAATACAAGAACATCAATAGCAAAGGTAAATTATAGCAAACGTTATCTATTTTTCCCGTAACCAAGTCCGAATTTCCCTTTTCCACTTCCATCAGGTGCAATAGGTTCTGTAATCCCTGTTTGATATTTTCCTAGACTCTGTCCCTTATTCCAACCCATTTTCTTTAGCATTTGGTGGCCTTTGTTGTGATCGGCCAACTCTGTTTGCATTGAAGTTGGCATCTCATCTTTTTCATATGGATTATCACTGCCTAACAATCGCCTTCTTTCAGAAGCTCTATCCACATACTGCGGTTCAATACCGAATTCCGATTGCTTATATTTATCATTATGTAAATTATATTTTCTCCTAATATTCTTCAACTCAGATCGCCTTTGTTTTTCCTTTTCATTTTTTGTCAAAATTTCAACTGAATTATTGGTCTTATTTGTATCAATCATGGCTTGGATTTGACCAGGTTCACAGTCATCGCATGTATCATAACCAATATGCAGATGTAACACAAACACAGTGTTTCCTATTATTAGCACACTTTTATGTGTAATAGGGCTGGCTAGCACAGTTGTTATACCAGGATTATGTTCGGTGATAGAATTTAGAGTTGTTCCATTCTCACTCCCATAATCAGTGACAAAGTAATTTCTTTGTTGTTGGTTATAAAACACTGCTGCATGTTTTGGACTTACATCAGCTTCTTGTATTTGAATTTCACAGTTTTCACTTGAACCAAAAATTGCACCATAACGAGTAATTAAAAATAACGTACCAGATGTTAGACTTTTAGATGAAGTGACCATAGCTCGAATGCATGGAATCACATTAGTTTCTAAATCCAAGTCTGTATCATTTTCATCCAAACAATCCATTGAATAAATGACTTTTTCTTTTGAAAATTTGGAAGAATCATCACACACTAACTTAAAGTTTTCTAAGCAATGGCGTTTATTTGAATCTTCAGCTAAATCCGAAGCTTTCCGTCGTTTTCTCGACTCTGTTATACCTTCACAACAAACAGAATTAACAAAAGACAAACATTTTGGACATTTCAAAAATTTAAAAGGATGTGTTGACAATGTCTCTAGTTCAGTATCCGAGCAACTGTCTAATTCTGATGTTTTTTCATCTTTTCTTGTCATTCTGTTACATACTGATTTGCCATTGATATTCATATTTAAGCATTTTTCATTCTGGCAACAACAGGTTTCCGTTATGTTAGAACATTTCCTACATACAAGATAATTTTTTCTTGTTGATTTAATGCATTCAATCTCTGAATCAGACAAACTGTAATCATGATATGGTGATCGCCCGATTTCAGTTTTGCATATTGATATACAATTTTTATTGTTTTCTGCCATCCCTTCAACTTCAGATTGGCTATTCGTAAAGTGGGAGCAAAGTTCGTTCACCTGGATTGCTTTGAGATGACTCTTCTGAGATTTTCCATATTTAAATACCGGTACCGCTTTTTTCAGAGACGAAAAAAAAATTTTATCACCTATTTGCTTTCCAATAATATCATCTCTATCAATATTCGTATTTGACGTGTCATTGAAGCCCATAAGTTGATGCTGAAACTCGTATTCTTGTGAGTCCTGATTATATTTATAATAGCACCCATTTTTATAATTGTAATATAGCTTTGTGTTGGGATAGTAATATAGACTAGTGTTGTAATCAAAGTAGATACCCCTTTGTTCATCATAAACCCACCCAGCCGTGTTCATATATGAACGAGCAGTTTGGGCAATGCTTTCAGCTGTGAGTGTCTCTGCAACATTGGATGTATTTTCGTACGAGTGATTTTTGAGTTCCTCATAATCACATTCAGTTTGACAGCTTGCGTCAACAAATTCGGGATGATAAATAGTTTCTGGCATATTACATTCAAACAAACTTAGTTTTTGTTTCAAAATTGCATTCTCCTTTCTTAAATCCAATATTTCAGATCGAAGTGTGCTCAGAGCAACTGCTTTGTCACAATTACATTGAAATGACATAATTTTATAATGTGTTACAAATTTTTATATGGTTTTCATTTACCGTACCTTTGATTCACATCTAAGACAGAATAATAATATAATTTACTTTTTCAGTTCTTTTAAAAATGAAAGCCTCCTGCCCCCAAGATGACCATGACGTTATGTCATATTAAATGATTCTATTCAAAATATTATTAGCAATAGTTGAAAACTTATTTGATAAAGTTGGCAGAAAAAGAGATTTCAAACTTAAGATGATAAATATTGTACTCCTAAGTCGACTAAATATCTTGTAATCTGTTCGAATCACTGAATCAGGGGGAATGGGAAATACAACTTTTCCAATAATTTCGTCTTGGGTGAGCGAACACGTACTACTTCTTTTATCAATACCTTTCCATCTAAAATCTGTACGTTTCAAACCTTACTCTAGGTTTTGTTCGCTTTCCCGATTCTATAATCAGTTACTTTTGTTTTTATCTATTTTTTTATCGTCTATTGCTGATTATGGAGTCGAAATAAACTTATACCAGTACTTATACTTATTATACTTCAATGTGAAGGTTCAATACCGTAAGACATTGCTTTAAACGGGTCTCGGGCCTCGTGTAGTTTCGTAGGTACCGTACCTAACATACTTCTGTACTTCGGGTCTCATGTAGCTTCTTACCTAACATACTTCTAGTGGGCATAACATGACAATTTTTTTACATATCAATCCTAACCCCCACCTGACCACAGCCCTTCAAACTATGCGAACTGTCATCCAAGACGCGCAGACGAGAACCAGAATTCGAACAGCCATTTCTCTCGTTTTCTCGTCGCAACGATCCCGATAGGAGAGAGGTCGACGACGTCAGTCAGTTCTTTCTCGTCGGCGCCGATGCTATTTCGGGCGATCGTACGAGTATTTGGCAAGCTCTATGACGTGATTGTGACGTCGTAGTGACGTAATTTTTGGATGGCGTAGTCAGGTGAGGGTTAGGATTGGCATGTCAAAAAATTGTTATGCTACACCTACTAGAAGTACGTTAGGTACGAAACTACACGAGACCCCATACCTCTAGTGGGCGTAGCATGGCAATTTTTTCACGTATCAATCCTAACCCCAACCTGACTACACCATCCAAAAATTACGTCGCAGTGACGTAATATACCCTTCAAACTACACGAACTGCCATCCAATACGCGCAAACGAGCAACCGAAATCGAACAGTTATTTCTCTCGTTTTCTCGTCGCAACGATTCCAATAGGATCGGAGGAGGAGAGATCGATAATGTCAGTCAGTTCTCTATCGTCGGCGCCAATGCCATTTCGGGCGATTGTACGTATATTTGGCAAGCTCTATGACGTGATTGTGATGTCGTAGTGACGTATTTTTTGGATGGCGTAGTCAGATGGGGGTTAGGATTGACATATCGAGAAGTACCCACTAGAAGTACGTTAGGTACGAAACTACACAAGCCATTATAATAACAGTTCGAGATATCATTAGTACAAGCATGATTGGGATATTTACTAAAATTTAACTAAGAATTAGTGTACAAGTTAAAAATACAAACAGGTCTAATTTGTATAAAAAAATATGGGGCAGAATTTCAGAGGGTGTACTGTAGATAAACATAACTCTAAATAGGAAAAAAATATTAGCACAAAATCGAGATAATAGCTCAGCTAGGTCACAAACAGATAGATACAATGAGTCGAGGTATTTGACCACAAAAATGCTAAAATGTGCATAGGATTTTACAAAGTAATAAAAATAAAATCACTTTAGCGCAATCAATCATAGTCTACAACTGACCAAACCAATAAATTGGAATAAACTTTGGAAATCAAAAATCCCAAACAAATGGAAAAAACTAGGCTGGAAACTGCTTCATATTGGTCAACCTGCAGAGGATACGTTGAAACATTGGTTTGAAAATGAATCAGAATATTGTGTTCTATGTAATGATAATGAAGAAAAATATTGTCTTTATTTATTTTATTCATGTAAGAGACTTTTGGGAATGGTGTGGTGTTCCAACACATACCCCTGATCAAATAATAGCGAATGGTCTGAATTCCAAAGTCGAGTTATTAATAGTGTTTTGTGCAAAATCTACCATATGGGAATACCGAAATTCAGTTTAGGTATGATACGATTAATGAATCATGAGGGAAGAAATGAACTGCTTGAAAATGATCATATTGACTACAAAATTAATAAATCGATTATGTTGTAACACCCATTTTCCCATTTGCGTTTAGATTAATGTTGGAAATAATTTAAAAAAGTGGTAACAGCGAATGTAGAGGATACCTAATTGCACGATAGATAAATTTCTGATTCTTTGTCTAATGCTTTCAACATTTTTGTTTTTCATACAAAATGATAACTGCTAATAACGGAAAAATGTGTTCAAATGGTCACCGGATTACATAGATCACCATTTCCCAAACATGGACGCGAATAAAATTGAATATATGGAATTAAATGGGTAAATGCATCTGGATTCTCTAATATTCGTTATTATTATTTTGTATTGTCTACTTACACACTTTATGATATCATCTAATAAATTACCTGGAAAATTTGGCTTCACGCAACTCAATTGGATAATTTATTTGATTAAACCTAAACTATCATATTCATAAATCCGAATTGGCAATGAATTTAAATTTGCCAAAAAATAAATAATAAAAAAGGATCGTTTCGTTATTATGTTGTTCTTGTTGGACAAGTAGTGGATCTATGGATGGTTTTGTGTTATTATGTTGTGCTTTGTGTTATGTGTCTTTGTGTCTTTCATTATGAGAAAATCGCCTTTCTCTTCAACTACTGGACCAATTACTTTGAAATTTTCAGTAGTTAAAGATTGATTTTTTCGCTAGAAAGCTATTACTTTTATTTATTTGAAATATTCCTGTGCGCTGTATGGGATTCGTTTTTAGTGTGCTATGACGTCTTCAAAATTTGCCACCTTGTGGCGGCTCCGCGAACGCATATCAGCGAATCTCGTGCGCTACGAAGTCGCTGGATCGCGTGCTTAGCGAAAGTGGGAAGTGTTTTATGAGGAACGATTGACTGCGGTACCTGATCTGGTAATACAGAAGTGTCTCGGATCAGTTCGTATTTCAATTCACGTTGAAACTGAATTATGAAGATTAGATCATCGTCACAGTACCTGGAAAAGCCACGACAGTACCTGTACCCGGGTAGTCGAGTTGACTCCAAGATTTGTCCGTTTAGTCGAGTTCTTCGGTGGATCGCGTGCTTAGCGAAAGTTAGAAGTTTTTTATGGGAAACGGTAAACTGTGGAACCTGATCTGGTAACACAGGAGTGACTCGGATCAGTTGGTATTTCAATTCGCGGTAAAACTATATCAAGATGAATATATCATCGTGACAAGACCTTGAATGGCGACACTTAGGTCCGGGTCGCGTCGACCATTGATTGGTCGAGTGACGTGTTGACGCGTTTCGATTTTGGGGGCGTTTATTAGATTGTCACTCGACTGGGGGATCTCTCGCGACATGCATCTCAACTGAAACTACAAGCTTCTGCCTCATCTTGAGTTAAGTTATTACTTATCGATTATAATCGGTAAGTATGTTGATAGGTATTTGTCAGTCTGTAAGTATGTCTGTTAGATGTACGCGATATCTCACGAAAGCGAGATTGAATCTGCTCCAGATTTTGCATGTACATTCATCATATCTCGGACCAGAAGCCTATTGATTTTGGATGAATTATGTTGTATAATTAGCGAGTTATTAATTAATTAGTGATGGGATACAAGGTGTCAGTATGGAGTAAGAGCGCTGTTTTGGGGATCCCCAAACTTTCGATCGATAAGTCTTCGGTCTCTGACCGATATTCTCGTTTTACTGTTTTATTGCAGCTTTATGTCGATTTTACCGTTATCGTTTTAACTGAAGAATATAATACACAACCAAAATTTTACACATTTTTAGCTACTAGAGACTTGAAAGCGGACAGCTGAATGGAAACGCAATTTGGGTACGAGCAGAGTCAACGAACCCTGCACCGGTACTGGTGAGGTAACGCATATGAATTATTCATTTTTATAGGGAATGGTAGACTGCGGTACCTGATCTGGTAATGCAGAAGCGACTCGGATCAGTTGATATTTCAATTCTCGTTGAAAGTGAATCAAGAAGAATGAATCATAGTCGCAGGACCTGAAAAATCTATTTCATTCACTGTGCCGATACGGTACTGGTAAGTTATCGCATATCATATGTGGCATATGATTTTGAGAAGTTTTTTATGAGGAATGGTAGACTGCGGTAGCCTACCTGATCTGGCAATGCAGAAATGACTCGGATCTATTGATATTTCAATTCAAATTGAAGCTGAATTATAAAGAATGGATCATCGTCAGAGGATCTGAAAAATCTATGACTGTCTTTTTACCGTTATCGGTACCCCGATACAGGTACTGGTAAGTTACCACATATGATTTGGAAGTTTTTTTATGGGGAATGGTAAACTGCGGTACCTGATCTGGTAATAGAGAAATGATTCGGATCTCTTGGTATTTTAATTCACGTGTAAACGGAATCATGAAGAATGGATCATCGTCACAGTACCTGGAAAGCTATGACTGTACCGTTACGTTACCCCGATACAGTTACCGCATATGATTTTCGGGGAATAGGTGATAAAATATTTCGTTTTGCTTTACCTGTCCACATATTCGAGCATAGCTCTCTTGTTCTTGGTATTTTCTTCTTGTTGTTATGAAAAAATCTCTTTTCTCAATAACTACTGCACCAATTGCTTTGAAATTGTCGGTGGTCAAAGATTGTATTTTTCGCTGTAGGCTACTGCTTCGCTTGGTGTGAATATATTTGTAGACTGTGATCTGACGGTACGGTAAACCGTACTGTACTGCGAACAGACGTGTCCATATATTTGGGCGTAGCTCTCTTGTTTTTCGACATTATACCTGAATCCTAATGGTAAAAACAGCAAAAGCAAAATTAGTCATCATCAATCCTTGAATCCATATATACTTGCAATTCCAATATGCTTGACTTGTGCATTCCCAGTGATTTGTTATTGATTTCTCATTGTAATTTTGGAAATCACTATTTTTTTTACGTTTGCAAAATCCCCCGCTATTTTCACCAATGTTACACATCGTGTAGGCTACTGTACTTAGTTGCTCCAAACCAAAACTTCATCTTATATGGCATCCTTAATATTTTCTATGCAACTTTAACTCTCTATTTTTATATTTGATTACTATTATTGAATCATAATTAACGTGTGCCAAATCATGTTGTAAAATGTTGCATTCTTCATTTTTTTTTTATTTCGTAGGGCTAATATGCC